CTACGGCGTACCGCATCAAACTTATCGCGCGGTACGCCTTGGATTTTCTGACCTGCATAGTATATGTAGTGACCAACTCCTCAAGAGTTTTTTGCAAGAGTCTGGGCAGCATGCAAACTTTGATTGGGGAAAATGCACGATATTGGAGGGCATTCCAGTACGCAAAAGCATAACCGCCGGTGCTGCCACTTTTGGATTCAAAGGCCCACAAAATGCAGGCTTAAAGAGCACACTAGGCTTTTAAGCGGGTGTTGCTGGTTCCATTGCGGATATTGGCAAGTATTTCACACATTAATTCTTCCAATTGCGCATTCTTAGCTACAAATTGATAACTAGCTAACGAGCAATTGTGGAAACAAATGCTGATGGGACCGAGTATTTCTTTTTTGTTTAAAAATTGTAATAAAAAGGTAATTCATACTCTAGTATCAACTTCTCCAGTTATGCAATGGATACCATTTCACGATCATGACATAAAATGAGTCATTATCTTCTGCGTATTCCACCCCAAGCGTATTTTGGAAAGCCACACTCCTGGATTTGGCACACCATTTGTCAAATAAATTAGATGTCACAGAGAACACAGGTCACACGCAAACACACAATGGTATGTAGGCACACCTGATAAATGCAACTACACAGCGCATGTTCAAGCAGCTAACACCACCAAATGCTTGGACTAAATTGAAAGCATGGTCCTGCATTGCAATTCCAGAAGATGTATGGCAAGTCCACAATAGGAAACGAATCCAGTTTGTCAGCTCTGATCTTATCTGCAAATTATCTAAATTCATAAAGCGATGCTTTTCGCTATATGCAAGCACTAAGTTGGTATTTAGCCGGGAGGAATACCACAGGAAAACAATGATTACCAAACCATCCCAGCGATATCAGTTAAGTTTTAAAATAAACGCATCGAAGGACGAAAGCGGCGCACGAAGGTTGTCAAATGATGGCCCATGTCGTCAGCTGTTCGAGGGGCTCGGATGCACACGATGGCCTTACATGACATACGGACGAGATCGTATTTGGTAGTCACGTTTGCATGAATCATGAGCTGTCCAAGGGCGAAACATGAGGTCATTGATGGGACATTCGTCATTCAACAAATACTATGCTTAGCTTTTCTTACTTCGCATGTGACATGGCGATGAAGACGCTGGTCGGCATTCTGCATACACCCATGTGGAAGGCATTTGGAGGATGAATCCAGCATTAGACGAACAGTTTTGTAAAACTCGAAGTCTCGTTACTGGATGTGGGCAGTCATAATCAGCCATCATTCTGGTACCCACTGCCTGATATGGAACTGCTAACGCTGTCATTGTGGTGCCCATTGGCCATGGACAATGCTGTTTCTGGTATTCCCTCCATGACATGTGTGCTTGTGTGACGCTATCCATTCTTTATTGTGCATGCTAAAGTTCCGTCGTAAAGGTGACAACTTGGCTAGGTCAACATACCTACTGTCTTTGGGCTTTGGATAGCCCAATTTTTTTCTCAAAAGGCCTGCCTACCTATATGCATGCATAGGACTTAAACATTAGCATATTTGCTTAGTCAAATGTGCATTCAAGTCTTGATTTTTTGGGTTGTGATGCTGCCTGGAGTCGTTCGATTGATTTCCCTTCAATGTATACGTCGTTGGCTTTTTTAGAAGCGCCTTCTTAATGACCAAGTTAGTTATGTCTTGGACAAAGGGAAACTATACCTGGGAACAAGGGGATTTCACGCACTGGTTGCCTTGCGAGAAGGTGTGGGTTTTCATTTTTGGGTGCCAGGTGTATGCGGGGATTTCAAATATAAAAAGTTGCATCTTTAAAAGCTACCAGAGATCAATCTGCGCTGTTTCATCTAGACCAATTTGCTTCAAAACATTGCGTTAATTTCTTATTAACTTGTTAACATGAAGTATATAAAGTGCATGAGACGAAACATCCTTCACAACCAGCTTATGGCAATAAATGGATTCTTTTGCGCCTTGGGGCCACTCTGAGAACTTTGTAAGACTGGTAAACCTTCTTGGAATGCCCGCAAGGGAGCCGTCCCTCCTCGTGATCTAATGACTGGCTGTTGGTGAGTGTGAGCAATGGTACACTCAGCCCCACCGCTCTGTACACGCGTCGTCACCTGTGGCCACACGTGTCCCTAGCATGCTGCGCAGCACTTCGCCTCCTCCCGACCCTTGTCCAGGACACGGGCCAACGGATATGTACCAAGGCGTGACTTCGGCCTGACGGACCGATTGGCCACGCTTTCGCGCGATAATCAAACCAGAGAGCCTATCAGTACCATACGTGGGCCCTTCGTTGTTTAACGAGGGCCCTTCTGCAAACAGCGTTACCGTGCACGCCTTTTGCTGTGTATTGCCACAGTACGGGCGAGTCTTTCAGTGGGCGCGAGCCGAGGTTTGAAATGATTAACCTGCGATATCCTTATGTATCGTCGTCATCACAGTACATGTTCACCAGGTATAAATACCGCCACGTTAGCCAATTGAAAACTACCCCAGGGCACAGCCAGAAAACCCTCGGCGTTATACTCAGCGGCGACCGGCAATGCCCGTGCCGATCCCAAATGAATGCGCGGTTTGGTGGGCGTGCACACCCAGCACTAGACGAAATCCGATGAAATGACCACTGACGGTTATACCGTTTCTTGAAGCACGTGAAGCAACGCCGGTAGTGATCCGAAAACAAAAACTGATGCTTAAACAGTATGCCGTTGCGTTGTATTTAGTCTTCCTTAGGCGCGTCATCAAACCTACCAGCTCTGTGAACGGAGCGTGGGATTTGGCTTTTTCAGCATATCTGAGGCATGCCTCAGTAGTCTTCGAATGGGAAACGATGCCGTGTGAACAAGGAATGGGACACAGTCACCACGACCCTACGATATAAGCTTTGTATTGGTAGGTTGTGCTCCTAGCCTAATGTACGCTACTGAAATATGAATTACATTTTTATTAATGTATGACCTCCCACCGGACAGTTTCAGCTACGCCGCCGCCATTGTATGTTTACGACGCACACTGCTGCCGAGGCTATATGGCGCCGCCTGCCTCTCACCCTAACAGGAAGCGCGCGCACCCCGAGGAATGGAACCCCGTACCTGAGGGCTCCCCGACGCGCAGACCACACCACCGGCACCCCAGGTGCATTTGCATACCTGCGAAGCTTTGAAGAACTGAGGCTAAGTGTGATGGGTGGTGGGCGTTGCTTGCTGTTGATTGCCGATCTTGATATAATTGCGTGCGGTTAAGTTTTTGGGCGGCAAAACAGTGACCTGCGTATGTATAAGCCCGTTGAATGTCTTTTAAGCGAGTCATGTACACCGCATACCATTGGCGTAGCCTAAATTCCGCCCAGGAGCGGCCAAATCGGTTCCTGGGGATCCTTTCAGTCTTTGTCGCAGGAGGATCCCCGTTATTTTCATTCAGTGGAACTTATGAGGCTCGGGATTCCATTTTGATGCCTCGGGCTCCGTTTTGTATGTTCGTGAAACATGGTAAGTGCCCTAAATTGCCAAAGAAGAAGGACTGAGCCGTCGACCCCAAGGGACCTCCGCCGCCTCCAGGGATGGCCATGGCTCCTAAGACCCTCTTGGCTACGCCCCTGCTGTAGATATATAGGGATTGGGAAATAGCCAGCGGTGGTGAAAGAGAATATGTCATATTTTTGGACTTCGCACTTATTGTTAAATCAGACGCATCTGATTTGACAAGTAAAACCAGTTACATCAAAATGTGTACGAAAAGCTCTAAAGCTCTATTTGAAACACTCGCTGCTGCGGGAGAAGTCTCAATGGGCTCCCTGCTCATCACTATGAAGAAAGAACGTCGAATTTTCCTGCGTTTTCCACCGTGCGTGTTCTGTACGGGTTCCAACATACAAAGTTTCCAAAATTGTTCTGTAATGAATGCTACGAAAGCTGGAAACACGTGTTTTAGACAATTAAATACGCAGATACGCAAACATTAGGCTATCATCTCGCGAATTCAGCAAGACATTATACTAACTGGTTTTAACTTCAACCAATGCGCTTCTCGGCAGGTGGCCCTTACTGCCCGCTGTACCAATCACAAACTTCATTTGTGCTGACGTCATCCAAACCACTTTTAGTCGCAGGCCCGCCATATGCGGGTAAAAGAGTTCAAAATTGACATGTATAACCGGTAACAGCAGCCCTCAACAGATTCTGTCACCGACATGACAGCGGTGTTTGTCATGACCACGACGGTCGTGACAACCGCAGTTGTCGTGAGGTCGTCGCGACTTGATAGCGCTGCGGTGGCACTACCTAGTGCTATTATTAGACTAAATGGTTCTGAAGTTACAATAGAGTTTACTTTTGAGATATGCCCCAAAGGCAGGACACTACCCATAATAGACGAGTATTCTATGGGTATGGTACGGGTGGCGGATACCGTAATGAGCGCTTATGTCACGGGTAGCAGGCGGGTTCGGATATGGATATTTTAGCCGTCTCTAGGTCTGTAGTGTCCCAAAGGCATGAATATGGTACGGGCTACGGATACAGCCATGGACGTTTAAACCACGGATAGCGGGTGGGTACGGATATGACATTGTAATCATCTCTAGGTCTCTAGTGGAACTGCCTTTTACCCACACGCCAATCAACAACCATCCCAAAAAGCAATTGACTTCATCAGGTGGGTCGCTCAGTCTGCTTATTGATCATTGTTAAAACGGAGGTTGTACATTGAGCATTGACAGTTGATGTAAGGTGTTGCTTGGTAACACACCTGCCCACACGTCGGACTGGCAGACGTGGTGGGCGACAGTCTCTCCCCCCTCGCCTGACAGCAGCCGGCGCATCATTGGACCCTGACGCCGCTGACTTTTACGTCACAGGCGGCCGGCCAATGGGAGGCGGCGGCGCGGCGCGAGGGCGGCGAATCTCGCAGCTCACTCCACCCCCGGTCAGCAGCCGCCGGAGCAGCCCGGCCGTCCGCAACACGGAACGCACGGCGTCAAGTGAAGACGGGGGTGTCGCCAGGTGTCGCCGGGTGTCAGGGACTCGCGCCGCACGCTCCAGAGCCGAAGACGTGGCCTGAGCCCGAGGTGGCAGCTTGCGGCTCGCGTGGCCTCCGTGACACGAAATGGTCCGGTCAGGCTAGGTGAGGACTGAGAACGTGCGGCGAGTGTCCGAGAAGAGGTGTGAGATATAATTTGGAGGCCAGTGTGGAGTGTCCAGCGTCACAGCAGCACTGTTAGCCGTCAGCCTCCGTCCAACACCGACCGACCGTCCGGCGCCAGCAATCTCACAGTCCGACCCGCACTACCACTTCGCTCACCAGCTGCGAGTCCAGGTAAAGAGGTGATGCGCTCGCTGCTCAGTGGCAGCACAAATGAGCCCTGAAAACGACTGTGAAGATTTGGGTTTCTAACACATTGATCGCACATGCTCAACTGCGCCTAGATCAAATGCACTCTATCACAAACATGTGCATGATTTCCAATGTTTGTTCTTAGTTTCCACTGGCTCCTTTGTGGGAGCCTGACTCACGAACTGTGGTTCCAGTTGACCCTTCCAAAATAAGTCCTGGATCCCGGCCACAGTGCATATTTTGATAAGCATGTGCATTTTGTCCAATTTAGCCATCATGTTTTGGATGTATTGCGGTGCTCATTACACACAATCGAACATCATGCCAACAAAGATGCCAAATATCAGCATTAAAAAGAAAACGGGAATTATAGCGCCTTCCCTAGCGATATGGAATTATGCTTGCACGAAAATATGTCTTCTGGTCTTTCATCATTTTGGGAGTCACTGTGGTGCACCAAGTCTCGTGCTTCTCAGGGCTGCTGAGGGCTGGACGTTGGTAATGCGGACGGAATAAGCAGCGCGAACTCTAGTTGTAAAAGACTGTGGTCCACATTAAAATATATTTTACAAGATACTTAGCAAAATATCTGGCTGCTCAAATGACCCTGAAATCATGATCTCCGCTCTGCATTGCTTGCGTACACTTGCCAGGTCATGGAGTGATCCGTACTCTGGCATAAATTCGTGCCAATCTGTTCCTTAAGCCGCCCGTGCTGGGGGTTCGTTTTATGCAGGGTCATGCCACTGCCGTCCGTGGTGAGTGGTTCTCTTCCTTGTCTCGGAAATGCAACCCCTTCGATGAAAATCAAAATCATCTGGTGATGGACCTCGGCCTCCCACTCACTGCGTATGAAACTCGTTGCGACTGCGTTCTAGCCACCACTAGAACAGCACACGGCCGCAGTGAAAAGGAGAAACACGGGGCTGTCCCGCTCCCTGAGTCAAGAAACACTTACCTGTTGGTTACCTGTTGGTTACCACGTAACCAACAGAAAATGGACGAATTCGCAAGACTGTGATACACATTTGCAGGGTTTTGGGAAAGAAAAAAAAATTATCAGCTGCCCACGCCCCTGTGCAACATTTGGCAACGCACTCGAACCAGTAGTGGTATGAAGTACGTGAGGTCGGTTGTATGCCACTATTGACAAAACATGACATATATAAAACATGATATATGACATGACCAGATATTTTGCATGACATATATATATATATATATATATATATATATATATATATATATATATATATATATATATATATATATGACACTATTGACGTTTTACTAGCTGTGTTTTGGTCATAATATCGACCTTATCGACCTCGACAGGCTCGTAGCTATAAGATGTACGTATTGCAGGTACGCACGCCGTTGCCGAAGTTTCCGGCTGCAGGACTGATAGTTAGGGACAGGTGGCGAAACCTTGGGGCCGCGTTCCGAGTTACTTTAAGGACAATCGTGATCTCATTCGGGACCCAAACCCGTTCATGGGCGTTAACGAGATATATAGTAGTAATATAAATATCCCAGGTTTTCCTGTGGTTAGCAACCACTGGCTTTGCTCTGTGAAATCGCAACACAAAGGTAAACACAAAGGTAATTGTATTCTGATATGCTTTATTCTGTAGCTAGAATTACACATCTGAAATGCGATATGTATATAAATATATGTATATGTAGATATATATATATATATATATATATATATATATATATATATATATATACATATATATATATACATATATATATATATATATATATATATATATAATATATATCTACATCTCCTGTTATTTTGTTCAGTGCACCTTTTGAGGCTCGAAACTCTGTTTTAATGCCTCGGGTTTCCGGTTTTTGGTGTTTATGAAACGTTGCGAGGGCCTTAAATTGCCAAAAAGGACTGGGCTGTAGACCCCAGGGGCCTCAGCCACATCCAGGGATGGTCATGGTCTCAAAGACCCCCATGGCTAAGCCACTGCTGTAGGTATACCCCAGGGGCCTCAGCCACTTCCAGGGATGGTCATGGTCTCAAAGACCCCCATGGCTAAGCCACTGCTGTAGGTATACGGGGAGGGGGATATGGGCAGCAGCGGTAAAAGGAATATGCCACGTTCTTGGACTTTGCGCTTACCGTTAGATCAGATGCGTCTTGTCTCATAGGTAATACCAATTACAGCGAAACGTTGC